CCGGCCTCCGCCGCCCGCAGTCACTAGCATCACCACTCGCCTCCCGGGAGGGCAGGACCCGGCGCGGTTCCGAGGCCCAGAACCCGGCCGAAATCTCTTGGCCGGTGGGAAGCCCGCCTCCTCCGGCATGTCGCGAGGGCGCCGCGGCGGGAGGAGCGAGCTCCCGCCCCTGGCAGGGGCCGAGAGCTAGCGCGCACCGCCCCTTCCCCGCCACGTGCTGGCGGCTCCCGGCGACCACTGATGACCTCACGGCCGCCCCCAGCCTTTAGGAAAGGGACTGCAACTCCCAGCATGCACTGGAATTTGAGGAGGCTTTCACTTACCGGGGATGGGGAGGGCAGGGTCTAAGGTACAACGGATAAAAGATGCGGAGCTACAACCGCGAAAGGCAGGTGTATAGTTCCGCGTGGCTTAGTCGTCGACGACGTCGTTCTCGTTGAAGTCTAGTTCCTTTCCAGTAGGAGAGGAAAGTACTTCAAGGAAAATACTTAATCCTGTAAAATCAACGAGGAACACTAACAGTTGCATTACTTAATCCTTTAAACAACTTGCAAGTTATATGGAAGGTACTGATAAGAAAAGAGTAATATCCCCAATTTACAGATAGTCTTTTTGGGTGGGGGCGGTGGCGGGTGACCAGTACGGGAATCCGAACTACCGAGATTACTTGCAGTCATTCAGATGTCACAAAATCTGAATTTTGAAAAGGATACTGGTTATCATCTTGTGTTACAGAAGAGGAAAGCGAATTCTATGATTCTCCGACAATCCCATTTTCCTCAGAAGTGACTATCTGCCACAGTAATATAAGCAGGGAAAGAGGGAGTTCAATGGAATGAAAATTGTCTTTACCCTTCCTTTTCTCCAACTGTTTCTGCCAGACTCTCAAGTTCTCTACCTGACTCTCCAGTCCCATCATACACGCTCCAATCAATGAAAAGATTCAGGACTCCAGCAGGGAAAATGGGCTATAACTAGTTCCTCCTTCACCTCCAAAATTAAAAGCTCTTAGATGATTTGCTAATTCACCACAGAAAGACTGGCAAGCAGTTGTTTGCTCTGCATACACGAAATGTGATTTCCTGAGAATAGACTATTATCACTAATGTGATTTCCTGAGAATAAACTACATAGTATTTATTCAGCACCCATGTGCCATGTGAAGGACATCTTCTGAAGTTCATTTCGACGAAACTCGCCCTGCATGTGAGCCTGTTAAATATCCTCCTTCCCCCTTCCTCCAAGTCGGAGATAATTTTCCTCTAGTTGCTGACAGTGTATTGACCAGGGGTTACTGAAAATGTCCATGTTGAAAGAATAGCAGATACATGTTTAAGAATAAATTAATAAATTTTCACTTCCGGTCCCTAAATATTAATTTTAAAAGGCAACCAAAAACTGCAAGAGAAAATAAATGTTAACTCTCAAAATGATGGACCTTGAGTAAGTAAAAGATGGATCCCAGTCCTTTTTCCCAGAGTGCTTTCCAGAGTAACCTAATGTGGGAGTAACATGTCCCAAATGATTACAAGAATCCAGGTTGGTATATAAATGGGTGAAATCATCTCTTGACAGAGCACATGCCCTGTCTCTAGAAGCAGCCACTAATCCCTTCTAGGCTATCATACAGGTCTGCGATTGCTAGATCTTGAATTTTTTCAAGAAAAGCAAAAATGAAGATTTTCATGTGAAATCTATTTTAAATATTGGCTCTTTTTTAAAATGGTGCAAATTAAGCACATCTATAGTTAATCCATCCACAACTTGTGGCCTAATGACCCATTTATTCTGCAGCCTCACAACTGAAGACCAGAGTTGGAAAATTAAATCCTATATAAACATTAAGCCATGTTACCCACATTTCCCCCATTACTAGTCTAAAATCTGCTGTTCCCCCAAAAGGAGTCTTGTGGTTGGGTGGCTTTCATATGCAGATGATGACAAGCTAATAACTAGTCAAAGAATACCCTGGCTCTTCCTCCAAAAGGTGAAGTGTCAGACATTTTATTCTCAACTTTCCTGGGATGGCCTGTGGACTTATCTGGTCTGATCATGGCCATACCAGCTGGTGGTCACCTTGGCTTGCCTGACCACCACTTCAGTGCCTTTGATTATATTCAGTTTTGCTCCATCCCACTTCCAGAGACAATCACAAGAAACCAGGTACAAGCTTGCGAGCATACATAAATCTCTATAATTAAAAATACCAGATAATAGTTTGCTGATCAATAGAACAAAGTATTTATTCAGCACCCATGTGCCAAGCACTGTGCTAGGCACTGTGGTGGATACAAAAATTAAGACATGGTCCCTGCCCTTAAGGAGCTTACATTCTCATGAGGAAGACAAGACTAATATACATGTACTAGCTAGGAACAGTACAAAATAATACATAATTTGGTGTAAGAGTATGTCATACAGACTTGAAGCTTTACAGGGATTCAAAGACAGACAATGAAATAGATCTTTAGAGTCAAGATTTCTTGAGGAGTCAGAACAAAGCCAAGCCTTGAAGGACAAAAGAGACTTAAATTGAGATCCTTCTTAGGTAGAAGTGGGAGTAAGGTTCAGAGGACGACAAAAAGTATGCATTTGATATAGGGGCTTACTAAGAAGTCACCGTGGATTTCTGAGCAGAGAGGTGACTTGATCATATGAGGTTCAACAGCTTTAATGCAAACTCATATAATATTTAAGTAGCTTAGGGGCATCCTGCAGAACACTGATAATAATGGCAGGGTCTTGACTAACACCACAGATCAAACTCACCTGTCAAAGTAAAGCATAGCCGCAGTATAAAATACTGGCAAGATAGATGACAACAACTCTAGGAGGTCTGTTACCCAACATGGCAATAGCTCCAATATTTCCTAATTTTCAGAGGCCTCAGAAACATTGAGGGTTTCATTACCAGGATCCAGGATTTGGGTGCTCTGCTTCGAGAGATTACACAAGAGATAAGAAATATATTAGGACATATGAGAGTGACACAGAAAAAGAGCAAGTAGAAGAAACAAATAGAAATCCATAGAGGAAAAAACACACCAAAATGTATATAAAATGTATCTCCCAGGGAGATGCAATTTGTACATCCATTTATTTTTAAATGAACATATACAGTTTTTTTTTTTTTGGACCGGTAAGGGGATCGCAACTCGGCACGGTGTGGTCTGCATCATGCTCAGCCAGTGAGCACACCGGCCATCTGCATATTCAGTATTTCTATAACAAAAAAACTATGTCTTAGGTGTGCTTTTCAGTATTACTGGTAGAATCCAGGAATCCCTCAAATTATATGTGTGTAAGGATAGTTGTTCACACAATTCCAGAAATCAAATCTCACTTTTCAGTTGACTTGTATTAGGAAAAGGAAGTGTATTCTGGAAGAATCAAGATTGAGAGGCAAGTTGGGGAAGAAGTAAGGGCTTTTTATGTCCAGGTAAGCTTAGGTATCCTGCTAAGCAACACAGAGCTAGGGATGGTGGTGTTGAGACTGGCCAAACTGATAAGAGGTCAGTGATTGAAATTACCACTGCCCAAGGACACAGTGTGGTAGCATAGCATGGCATCCTGTCACTAGGACTTTATCTTCTATAAAATCAGAGAAGTCAAAATCCCAAAAGTGACTACCTTTAGGCTATACATTCAAAATGTTTCCTGTTTTACCCAGTTATTAATGTGTACAGATAGTCCCTACTTAAATGAACAGTGAAAAGATTTTAGGATTGAAATTTTACCACAAAAATTCTATTAATTGGATAACTCAAAGTTAACTCAGGGAAAACAAAACCAGAGAAACCGATTTCCAACCCCAAAACACAAAATTTAAAAAAAAGATCAAAACTCTAATTAAAGTCACTGATAAGGCTTTTTGAACAAAGACAAGATATGATAAAACTTAAGAATCCCACAAGGATTAATACATTCTAAGATTGGCATTTAAACTTTAAAAAGATTTCTTAAACTGCTTAGAAAAAAAGCAGTCCCATTGACCCAAGTTCCATAAAATTGCAACCATTATATTCAAAGTTACTTACTAGCAACATGTAAAATATTAATATTAAATTCCATTATTTATGAACATCCCATTTAGATTTAAAGACATTAAAATACTTTTCACTTCAAAAACAATCTGAAAATTCCCATTTAGGATGTTTATTATGTTTACTCTAAGCCTATGTTGATCTTTTTGAGGAAAATCTCACACTCTGGAAAGCTATCCCTTAACCAAGTAGAACTACTTACTGACAATCCAGTTTTGGGAAAGGGTCCTGTGCCTATACGCTGTTGATGAAAACTATTTGAAATCCTTTCTTTCCTGGGGATGGCCTTTTTACTCTTCTGGGTTCTCTGAATCACTTCAGCAGTGTGAATGCAAAAGTGCCGAGACCCAGGGAAGACATTATTTTGGACAAGCATTTATTAAATCACAGGCAGTAAATGCTTACTTCTGTACACCCTGTCTAATTTCTACCTGATTGGTTTACCTGACTGGTAAACCAGGTAGTTGGCTCCAAAAAGGTTCATGAAGCAAATGGCAAATGTTAACTAGCCAAAGACCCAGGAGGATCAGTTTCATGCCTGCCTAACTGATAACTGTTCTTCTGGCTCCAAAGTCAACATTCCGATTTATTTTCCAGGTCTAATAAAAATCTTCCTGTAGTTTTCCAAAAATGTGGCCATTACCGGTTTTCCTCTAGATATTTCTTAATGGAGAAATGCAAGAAGAGTAAATAAGATGCCATGTTAGCTTTCTGCTTACAGCTGACTTTTCCACAGCTGAATTCCTGCTGCTATAAGCAGTCCTCTTCCCCCTCTTTTTTCCATATCGTCTGACAACCGGAAGTTTTACAAAACCCAGAGAACAGACTGCCTAGACAACAGAAATAAATCTTCTTTCTACTGAGGTTAGCATTCTGAATAAGTGAGACTTATACAGCCACAGCATAACAGCTACATTATCTCCAATCTTGAAATGAAATCCAGTCAAAAGCTGTGAAGACACAGGAAGAACAGGCATGTAATCTGCTCTGAGCTCAGACCTATGCAGGAGAGCTAGAATACATTATCATAATTTAAAAGATCACACACAAAAGCCTTAATACAGTAAGAGAGAGATGGAATTCAGTTTTATTTTGTCCTCTCTGAAACTTCCATTTACACCATGGCCTCATCTATCAAAGAGGAGGAGGAAGAAAAAGCCCTAACTTATACCACAGAATTCAAGTACTCATGTACTTGTTAGAGGTGGCAGGCTATTTGTTTCTCCAGTTTTTTGGCTCCAAGAGATTACACTTTCAGTACCACTGTAGTGAGGAACCACTGGCAAACTGCTGGAAATGTCTTCTGGATTAGTCAGTGTACCATTTCATAAAGTGCTTCTGGAGTTAAAAATCTGCCAAGCTGTCAAAAGTGTCCACACTTTTGCAATAAAGGATAAAAGAATCCCAAGGGGTATTTCACTGAGTCCTTCCCAGCTGGGTCTTGTTATTGGCAATGCTGCTTTAACCTCCAAGGCGCTGGCCCTCACCCCAGGCGAAGCCTCCTGGCCGCTCAGGATAAAAGAATCCCAAGGGGTATTTCACTGAGTCCTTCCCAGCTGGGTCTTGTTATTGGCACTGCTGCTTTAACCTCCAAGGCGCTGGCCCTCACCCCAGGCGAAGCCTCCTGGCCGCTCATCGGGTAGTGGATTGTAATTTGGATCCTCATCTGGTGTATCAAAAATAGCCTTCCTAAAAGACAGGCGACAGACATCATTTAGTCCCAGAATCTTCTCAGGTCCAAAGTACTGCAAAGTCAGTCCAGTTCCTACAGGGTTTCCACCGATGGATAAGCATTACATCTGCTTGCCAATTATTCAGTGATCATATCTTAATGGTATCCATAATTATTTAACATTTATATTAACTTTTGCTTCCTTTACTAATTTTTACTACAAAAGCAATACATATTATAGACAAAAAAGGAAATATGAGCAAAATATCCAAAATCCCCAGAAATAATTATTGTTGGTGTTTTATTCTTCTAGAACTATATGTATGTAATCTTACAAAAGTTGGATTACACTTGTTTTGTAACCTGACTTTCACTTATCATGACAATTTTCCCATAACCAAGGTGTCACCCAAGTGTCCATCAACAGATGAATATATAGACAAAATGTGATATATACCCATAATAGAATATTATTCAGCCTTGAAAAGTAAGAAAATTCTGACATATGCTACAACATGAATGAACCTTGAGGATATTACGCTAAGTGTAATAAGCCAGTCACGACAGGACAAATACTGTATGATTCCACTTATATTAGGTATCTGGAGTAGTCACATTCATAAACACAAAGTAGAATGGTGGTATCCAGGGGCTGATGGGATGGGGGAATGGGGAGTTCTTTAATGGGTATAGAGTTTCAGATCTGCAAAATGAAAAGAGGTCTACGGATGGTGGTGATGGTAGCACAACAATATGAATGTACTTAATGCCACTGAAATGTACATCTAAAAATGGTTAAGATGGTAAATTTTATATTAGTTGTTATTTTACCACAATTAAAAAAAAATTAACAAGGTATTCCAAGAAAAATTGCTGCAGAGCATAGGAAGGGGTAGCTAATGTCCAAAAGACTTTTTTTTGGGGGGTGGCTGGCCAGTACGGGGACCAAACCCTGGACCGTGGTGTAATAATCAGCACCATGCCTAACCAACTGAGCTAGCTAACTGGCCAGTTCCCAAAAGACTTTTTAAATACTATCATATAGTAATTCAAAACCTCATTAAAGAATGAACCACTAAAGCAGCAACCTCTATTTGCATTCATATTTCTAAGTGAAATTGCCCACAGTTGAAAAAATTAGAAATGTATCTGAAAACTTTTACTTTATACTGGAGTTGGAAGAAGTATTTATATTTAAAAATGAGCTTTTTAAATTCTTACAAATTAACAACAAAAACAAACACACCTTTAGAAAAATGGGCAAAGGGGGCTGGCCAGTTAGCTCAGTTGGATAGAGCATGGTGCTGATAACACCAAGGTCCAGGGTTTGATCCCCATACTGGTCTACGGCCAAAAAAAAAAAAAGAAAGAAAAATGAATAAAGGCCTGAACAGGCAATTCAAAAAGGAAATTCAAATGGTCAATAACCATAAAAATGTTCACTTCCATAATAATCAAAGGAAAGCATATTAAAAACTGAGATTCCTTCTACTGCCCAAACATTAGGTGGGGCAGAACAAAGTAGGTACCCACACAAGGAGGTGAGCTGTAAGTGGCCCAGAGCAGGATGGGGGTCAGGGAACAGCCTGCTATGGGGAGTCAAGAGCCCAACTGGGTCATGCACATGTAGAGGTGTCCTGAGTCAGGTAAGGAGGGCATCCTCATAAGAGGGCAGCCTGGCCTGGGAAATCTGGGTAAGATGAGCAAGGCATCCACATGGGGGATGGGGAGACAATGATGAGAGATTGTTTACATATTGGGGGTAAATAAGTAAGTAAATACATTACTGATAATAGGAATCAGGTTTCTCACTGTGAGAATATGGAAATATAGACAAAAGGTGGTATATTCATACAATGAAATGCTTCTCAGCAATAAAAAGGAACAAATTACTGATACATGCAACATAGTCAAATTTCAAAAACCTTATGTTGCATGAAGAAGCCTTATACAGAAGAATACATACATATTGTATAGTTCCACTCAGGAAGTTGCAGAACATGCAAAACTAATCTATAGAGTAACAAAATCAGAATAGCGATTGTTTCTTGGGAGACAGGAGCAATGACTGACAGGAAAGGGACCTCAGGGAACTTTCTGGTTGATGGCAATTTTCTTTGACTTGATAGTTTGGGTTACACAGGTGTAAGCATTCATGAAAATTCACTAGTTGACACACTTAAGATTTGTGTATTTTGTTGTATATAAATAAATACTGAACTCTAGTTAATGATACACATACACGCTAAAGTATTCAGGGAATTAAGTATATTGGGTTAGAACGCTGGATGGAAGAATAAATGTGCAAAAAGCAAGAATAGTAAAATAGTAATTGTAGAATCTATGTGGTGGATAGATGATGTTCGCTGTACAGTTTTTTCTGATTTTCTGTAAGTTTTGAAATTTTCATAATAAAATACTGGAGGAAAAATATAGAAAGAAAAAAATTAGAATGAATCATGTGGGGTTGTACCAGAACTAGGATTATCAGTAAAAATCCTTATTTTTTAAAAATATATAGCTTAAAAATGTAGACATTTGGATCCCTGTACCAGCCAGCTGCCAAAACAAAAACAAAACAAATACAGACATATATACACTCATATACACACATATAATTGCACTGCTCTGTTCACTGAGAAGATCTGGGAACGGCAACTCTCCAATAGCAATGAGCATATCTAGCACCCAGATCTTGGCTTCTAAATACTATTCTCCACTAAAAAGGAACCAGGGATCCCTGAAGAAATAGCTGATTCCAGGACTGGGTCAAGGAGAGAACAAGACGAATCTGGGCTATCTTCTTGGACCAGAAAATTAAAAATTGCATTAAAAAAAAATGATAGGAACATGTTGAAAAAGACTTAGAAGACAGTTTCAAGGGGGTTCACATTGGCCAAATCCGGGACAGTACGAGCATCAAAATAAACAATGACAATAAAGGATTATAATCCATGGATAAAACATAAAATCATGAATCCACACAGACGTAAGTAAATGAATTAAAATTTGATAAGGAAAGAGATATTTACATAGCCTCAAAGTACCTAATTACAAAAGGAAAAAGAGTAACTTTACAGTGGAGAAGCCTGGCAGACACCTTACTCAAGTAATCAAAGTGATTACCACCACTTTGACAAATATGACAAATTGACATCCCTTGGTAACAGGCTGCATTTAGAAGAATGCAGTGTCACTTCTCTGATTGTCCAGCCAAAGATGCAAAACCTGAGCCTAAATGTGAGAGAACATTAGACAAACCAAAATTGAGAGATATTCTACAAAACGGGCCCATAATCTTCAAAAATGTCAATGTCATGAAAGTCAAGGAAAGACCATGCAGCCGTTCCAAACTGAAGGAAACTAAAGAGACATGATAACTAAACACAACACCTGAATCTGAACTGGACTCTTTCACTATAAAAAACATTATTAGGACAACTGTCAAAACTGAAATCGAGTCTGAGCATTAATTGTTTATTTCCTGATTTTGACTATGTAGAATTTTCTTGCTTACAGACAATACACATTAAAGGGGGTGATGGGACACTAGACTGACAATTTACTTTCAAATATCTAAAGGGATAAAGAAGTCCTCTGTGCTGTATTATTAATTTTCTATAAGTCTGAAATTGTTTTAAATAAAAAAAATAAAAATAAAAAATTGAGGCACCATCTTATAGCTATCCAACTAGGAAAGGGTAAATAAAATACCTCCCTTGTTTGATGAGGATGTGGGGAAATGAACACTTATACATTGCTGGTAGAAATGTAAACTCGAACATCCATTCTGGAAGGGATTTTGGCAATAAATAAAATAACAATTCCACTTGTAGGAATTTACCCTTTGAAACTAATCATGGATATGTGCAGAGATTTAGCTACAAAGACATTCACCACTTCAGTTAGAGAAGGGAAAAGCAAGAACTAACCTCAATATCCATCAATAAGGGATTAGTAAAATTATGCTATATCTATACCAGGGAATATTATGTAGCTGTTACAATTTTGTAGGATATTTATGATGGAAAGATGATTGTGACATATTAAGTTTAAAAGATTATAAATAACATTTAAAAAAAGTACACATAAAGACTGAAGAATGCATATCAAAAGTTAATAATGGTAGCCACTGCTGTATCTAAATGGTGGGATTATAGACGATTTTACTTTCTTCTTTTTGCTTAATTAGTCTACAACAAACATTTTACAACAAAAATTCACATTTTATTCCTCAAGCGAGCCCTTTTTAATGTAGTATTTCCCAAGGAAACAAAATTCTGAAGTAGAAAGAGGTCTGATAAATCAAAGCTCTACCTCAGGAAAATGAAGTGGAAAAAGAAGGGACTTGCTTAAAATCATATGGTTGGTCAGTGGAACAGCTATACCTGGTTTCTAGTCCAAAGCTATTTCCATTCTACTTCACTGCTTCTCTAACACCTACTTGGTAGGCCAGAAATTCTACTTTCAGAAACTTTCCTCCCACCAATTTTGCCCATTTTGCTATCTCACCTCTCTAAACTCAGACATCGGCATTTCTAAAACCAGCAGGCTCCTCTCTGGGACAGGAAGTCATAGTGGTCATCCAGGACAACAATTACCAGGTCACCTCCATGACATCCTGAGCCTATTAATCTTGCTCTTGCCATAACCCTGGCACCATCTGCTCCTACCCAATCCAGCTGCAGTTAGATTGCTCAATCTGCAAATATTTACCGACCTGAACTATGTGTACCAGCAGCCATGGGAGCCCCAAGAAAATACAAATCATGGACCCTATCCTGGATTGTCTGCAAGGAACATGTAACCTGGTGTTACATACTCACAAAATAGATGGGGTTTTCAAAATTCTTATTCCTCCAGGCTGATTGGGAAATACATCTTCCAAGAAAAAATATATGTGTCCAACTGCAATACCTAGAGTCAACCAGAAATAAGAGCATTAAAATTCAATTGCAGGTGGACCTACCAACATAAATTGCTTACATTTAGGATGAACGTGAGTATAATTATTAAAAATTCATGAACTAATATTGTAGTCTTTGAGATGTAACTATCAATCCCACAATAGCTATTCATGAAGGCCAGACAGAATAAACATGAAAAGTAGTTATAAACTAAATTTACAGGTAAAATAATAGAAAAAGTAGTGATAAGATTCTTACCCAAGAGGTCCACAATGATTGAGTTCCCCAACAACAAGGAAAACCCCATGAGCACCCATGGTAGAAAGGGGGCCTGGAAGTTGAGAAGGCCAAAGAAGTTCATGCGGACATATGGATTCCTTCGGCTCCACACGTAGACCAGCATTATTGTAAAGGCCTGGCCCAAGAAAACTAAGCTCACAAACAAGCCAAAAAGCTAGCAGATGGCATTAAGGAAAATATCAACATTAAAAGCATTATAGGGAAGACTGAGCAAGAGAACTAAAGATTGTGTTTTATTTTAATGAAAGTTTGAGTTGGAAAAGTCAAGTAGCTACAGTTTTACAACAGAAGACAAAAAAACGCTGAAAATAATTACTCAAAGTAATCGGGCAAAACCTGATTAAGCTAAATCACCTGGTTTTTAACTACTTCAAACTAATGTTCTGCTTTCGTGAAATTCTTGCCTCTTTGGAAAATATGTTTGTTCTTTGGTCAACAATGACATCAATGCTCACTCACCAATAGCACCTTTACAGAGGTGAATAAAGCCAGCTGGAACAAAAACATCTTGTCAGATAGTACTACATCCAAGTCTGTTATACAGATCAAAATTCTTTTTTTAAAAAATAATTTGTCAGTTTTGATAGTGACCAAATAAATGTCTTACCAACTTAGTTTAAAAGTGAAATACACCAATCAACAATGATATAACTGAGATGTTTAATAATAACCCACCTGGGTTAAAAGTTCCTCTGACTTGCTCACAATGGAAAGGCATCCTGTACAACCTCTGGGCTTGGAAAACTGTCACAGAAAGTGTGCTGTAAAATAAATTATAGTGCCCTGAAGCTAAATTTTAGAGGTCTACTTTTATCTGTTTGTTCAAAATATCTAATCAATTGTGGGAGATAAAAAAGCTTCAGGAAGAGACAGAGTGATCTTCGACACTTTCCTGTATTTTTTCTATTTGTTGAAGGATACAGTCATTAAGAATCCACCAAAAAGGAACATAAATACAAAGTCTGCTGTCCGACCTCGGAAAGAGCCTTCTTCTAGCATTCGACAGTAGCGATATCTTAAGCTCCGAGTTAAGAAAATGTTAAGCACACAGATATGAAGAAAGAAGAATTTAATGTATCACTTATACACACTTGGACACCACATTATTTGTAAGAATCCAAGCCTTCGTTTCTGTAAGAATGTTTGAATGGTTATATGATTACTCTTCTTTTGCCAGGCATTTTAGGTAAGGTAGACCAGCACCATCCTTTCAAAGACTGTCCCTGGCTGGAGAACTAATCCAGATGCTACACAAACATGCTTCCAGTCACCTATTAGACCTTTACAAATCTGTACTGTCTTTCTCATGCTCAGCCACACCCTAACCTGCACCATCCTTGCTTTTCCATGACCTAACTTGGGAGAAATCCCCATCAAGAAGCTTTGTGTGATAAACTACTTTTCCAGGACAGGCAGGCTAAGCATTTCTATAGATGAGCCAATGAGTACATTATGATGAAAAAACCTTATCAGAAACTTACTGGAATGATATGTTATACAGAAGACACAGGAATCCATCCTAGGGCAGAAACCCCGTCGCCCCTATAAAGCCCTCAGTCTACTGCAGATGAGCTGAGATGTAACTCCCCTCCTAACCCAGAGGATGGCGGTGGAGGAGGGGTGTCCTGCTCAGCTGCCCCAATTATCATTTTACCACAGCATGGCTCTTCCTCTTTCAACAAACTGGAACATAGCAAGCCTGGGAGACTTTATGGCACTGTCTTTTCAGCCAGTAGAATCAGCATCCAAGATCCAAGGAGAGATCTTAAGTTCTCAATTCCTCATGAACCCACTCCCAAAACCAGGCCAAAACTCTGTTAATTGAATTATCACTGAATTAATGTTGTGTTTTACCATTGTACCTGTTATTTTGTAAGTATGCCTCAATTAAATCACTTTTCCCCTTCCTTGGGCAGATTTGTAAGCAACTTAAGGGCAGAAAAGATACCTTGTTATGGTTCAAACCTTCCATTTGAACAAACAGTGATCTTCAAGACATTACTATCTGACCAACTACTCTATGTATCACTGACCCAGAAGCTACATTTAAGGTGGTATCAGAAATAAATAACAGGAGTAATAGTTTCTTTTTTTTTTTTTGTCTTTTTCCGTGTCTGGCAACGGATCGCAACCCTCAGTGTCGCCCCTGTACCGGACCGGGACCGGCAACGGGATCGCAACCCTCGGTGTTGCCCCCGCGCCTCGCTCAGCCAGTGAGCGGGAACCAGTCTGTATGTGGGATCCGAACCCTCGGCGGGAGCGCCGCCGCACTTCCCAAGCGGCGCACTAGCGCAGTGCGCCACCGGGCCGGCCCCAGGAGTAATAGTTTCAACTTAATATTGTATTTCCTAAGCAAACAAAGCTTTGACTCTACCCCCAGTTAACAAAGGATACAGAAAAATCATGTTAAATAAAAAATTGAATCCAACTGGTCCAAAAAATAAGAAATTGGTGATTAATCTCCATATCTGTTTAAAAAAAAAATCAAGAGAAAAATGAATTAAGTAAAATATATTACCAGGAAACATTTCCATATTAAAACAAAAGAGATGTCCCATGACTATGATGTAAGAAAGGCCATGGATAGGGTGATAATCTGTTCTGAACCAAAAACTGGGACACACAGCCTGACGTCAGATTTTTGTGTTGTTTTTAACTGGAAGTCTGAAAGATATCATTTGGATAAGAACAGGACAGAAAATTTGAAATTCTGATTGTCTTAAAAAAGCCCACACCATATGGTAAGGCAAACTGTGGAAAAAGTTTGATGGAAAGACTGGGTTAAACTGCAGAATAGAAAACAGTGCTTTCATATATGTAGCATTTCAATCTAACGAATAGTTCTGAGATACCAGAGAAAAATTTCAGGGATCTTATATAAATTGCAAAGAAATGTTTCTACATTAGGCAGTCAGAAACATCTAGAGGAAAGGATAATTCTAAGGCAAACATTCAAGTTCTAGTCTGGACAAATAGCCACCTCCCTATAGGAACCACTTTTTTCTTTTTCTTTTTTTGGTGGCTAGCCAGTACAGGAATCAAACCCTGGACCTTGGTGTTATCAGCACCACGCTCTAACCAACTGAACTAACCAGCCAACCTCCTGTAAAAATTAATGCTCTAATAATTAGAGTTTAATTGGGAGATAGGAGGGCACTCATCCTCATGTTAAAACCCCTGATACACTCTTTCCTCTCCACACCTACAATATGGGAGAGCACTTAACATTTTAAAGTGTTTTGACATAGTTTACTATCTCATGTGATCTTAATAATTCTGCGAAACAAGCAGGCTGGTACTACCATCTCCATTTCACAGATGTGGAAACTAAATGACAGGGATAATTTTTAAATGGCTTGCCCAAGGACGTGCAGCTTTGTAGTTGGAGATTCTGAATCTCATATCTAGAACCCCTAACTCCAAATGCAGATGCACTGTGTCATCAATAGTTTAACTCCAGGCAAAGTTAAGTCAAGCAAGCCAGAAACCAGCAGGAAGCAACACTTGGATCTACAGCTGCCAGCAAAGGCCATGTGAGTACTGAAGTAAAAAGGCAGTGACAAGAGATCACAGGACTGCTTTACACATCATTAAATTTTGAGAACTGCTAACCATTAAAGTTGAAACAATTCAGTTCTACATAGCAATTGCATCCAGGATTTTAAAGTCCTCATCCTATTCAGGAGATATGCATATAAATAACTGCAAACGTGAGAGATAATGTAAAACAAAGGAGGATGAATCCAAGAAGGCTACACAAAAGCTGTGTCTTAAAGGGAAGCTGGAGTTCAATGGATGTATGAAGTAAATTAAACATATCTGAGACAAAGGGAGCAGCATGTTTAGAGGGAGAATTATTGGCTTTTGGGTCTCTCCCTCACTCCAATGATAGCCTGTATAACCATCCTGGAGCAGAAAAATACATCTCTCTTTTAGCATTTTAATCACTGGAAAGGACTCCCACCGTAATCTAATAAACCAGCATGTTGTTTTAAATGATCTGATCCCTGGAAGATGGATCAATGTAAAAGCACTAACAGAACTGAGTTTCTGAACTGGGTCGTGGTGATAACACCATGGTGAAGGGAATGCCCAGGTGATGAATGGACAAAATAAGGCCATCCCGTGAGATGCTTCCTGGGCAGCCAGCTGGTCAGTCTCCTCTCAAACATTAACTCTAAACTAGCGTTACCCAAATACAGGAACTGGACACATCAAAACCATGCAGGGAACCTTAAAAATAAATATCGATTTTTAATTCCTACACTGGTGATTCTGATTTGGTACATGATGAGAGCCGGAGAATCTCTTAAAAGTTCCCTAAGTGATTCTGAAGGCTGCAGAATCACTGCTTTACATCCTGACAATAAGACTTATAATCAGGGCCAGCCCGTGGCTCGCTCGGGAGAGTGTGGTGCTGATAACACCAAGGCCACGGGTTCGGATCCTTTTGGGGGGAGGGAAAAAAAAATCAAAGGTTCCCACTGAATTCTTTTTTGAGATAGTATATGGTATAAGACTTATAATCAGGGCCAGCCCGTGGCTCGCTCGGGAGAGTGTGGTGCTGATAACACCGAGGCCACGGGTTCGGATCCTTTTGGGGGGAGGGAAAAAAAAATCAAAGGTTCCCACTGAATTCTTTTTTGAGATAGTATATGGTAGGATTTGCTACTAAACAGTAAGAAAAAAAAAAAAAAAAGGAAACGTTACTCATGGTTGTGATGTACCACTTACTTGAAAGTGTTTAAAGATTAATTCGGGATTGAAGTACAACTGAAAAGGTGTGATCAATTCCAGCTGCTAAAATGGAAAAAGAACTTCTTAAAGCAAATCAATCAAGAAACAAAATTTCATCATTTTCAACAAACATTACTAGGTCTAGCAATTTCCAACTGTCAGTTACTTAGACGGAATTCCTTTAAGCCTTCCTTTTTAGAACCCAGGAAGAGGCTGGTAAAGAATTCTCGAATTGGTAGAATTCTTTGTATCCTCAACACCTAACAGAGTTTGTTTTATGTTGCAATACTTGAGGCTGACATGAAGGCATGGAACACAGGTAGGTGGTGATAGTTTAGATACAACAGAGCAGCTGCTATGAATCTGCCATCACATGGGCTCCACCTGAAACAGATGTGTGAAACACAACTCTCTCCAAATAATACAAGACTCAAGACCCTGACACCATTAGGACTAGATGCCTGCAGCCAGCCCCTTATATCCACAGGCAATTTTCAGCTTTCTATCCTCAATTACCTAAGTTTCTTCAAGAAGTGGGCCTTCCTCCTATTAGTCACCAGGGGACCACCTGGCCATAGCCAGAGCTCTCGAACACATTTATTGGGTGGGCGGTTCCCGCTATAGGTCTGGCCTTCATCTCTCAGAAACTGACCTGACCCTTCAAGGAGCAGCACTCCCTCCTCTGGTCACTGGGTAAGGACTCTCGGGGCCACTCCGAACCCCAGAGTGAGCCTTGTACGCTTCCACCCACCCCTGGGACCAGCCCCTCTGGGCCTCCCTGAGGCCCACACCCGAGTTTCCTGAAGACCCAGTCGTATCCAGCCCGGATAATGAGAAGGTGGCGCCGCAGCTGCTCACCACAGCAGCGGTGGTGAGGACGCAGGCGGTGGTGTAGGCGCGGCTAACCGGTGGGATCTGCAGGTACTCCAGCCTGAGGCTCTGGTACGCCATTTTCCCAACCGCCGCCTGCCCCCCACTTCCCCTTCCGCCAGTAGGCCCAGGCGGCGGGGGCGGGCTAAAACCGCACCCTCTTTAGCCTTCTCGCTGCTGCCCAATCAGCGCCGCGCAGCCGGCCAGCCACCAATCGCTAAAGCCCTAAAGAAATACACCCGCCAATCACGAGTTGGGTTTCTGGGGCGCCCCTGCCGCGCTTCCCCACCCACTAATGTCGGAGAAGAGAGAAAGTACCGGTACCTTCCGCCAATCCCCGCCGGCCACAGCTAGCATTTCCCGCCCGGCCCCTTCCCGTCACCAATCGGGGTGCCCCTCCTGACCCGACAGCCAGCCAATCAGGAGCGTGGAAGCATCCCGCCTTTGCTTTCGTTCGCTTATCAGTCGGAATTTCGCGGAGTCCGCGGCGCAGCCTATCTCTAGCGCTCGCAGTGGTTTAAAGGAGGTGGCGGGAAGCTGGTGTGTGGTTGAATCCATCATCCTCATGGTCGCTACGGTCAGTGCCGCGGAACTGCATTTTCCCCGAGGGGGAGCGAAAAGGGGTGGGACTGGGTTAGGCATCACCGCCGGGGCGCTGGAGCGGCCTGACTGGTCAGCGCCGCGGGCCTTGGCGCGGGCTCCGACTGGAATGTCCCGGCGTGCAGCGGGGCCGCGGGGCCCGACGGGAGACGCCGCCGGCGGAAGCAGCTCCCGCCCTGCGTTTTCTGGGTCCTGTCCACCTGGGTCGCGGGCTCTTAGGCAACTAAACTCGCTGAGATGGCCTGGGCATTTCCCGCGTGTGATCTACAAATATTGACTAGGCTGTCCTCATCCTGCTGTCGGAAACTCTGCCTAGCAGAGAAGACGAGACGGTACAACTTGATCAGTCAGTGCCCGAAAAGAAGTCCTGATGGGACTACAAAGGAGTGAGTGGGTCATCAGGGAAGTGTATTTGAACTGGCTCTTGAAGGATATTTGGCTAAGGCATTCCTCCTTGGGGGGAGAACGTGGGTTTTGTTGGAACAAAGGGTAGCCAGATCATGGCACGAGAGGTTAAGAACATCATAACTTTACTCGATGGGCTAGGAAGAAGCACGAACGAGTTTTGGAACACCGAAGTGACTGTCAAGTCTGGTCGTATATAAGAAAGAAACCAAGTAAAAGGCTGGAGAGAGTAGTTTTTTAAAAGGATGTGAACTGGTAATTCACAGGAAAGAAACCTCCCTCATATATCACCCTCACAACCTGCTGATAAAACCATGCCGGTTTATTGCTTACCGCGGAAGGAGAGCAACACCTCGACAGACCTTTGGCAGTGACTCTTATGAAAGAAAGGCAAGATCAGAATCTTTTCAGAACTGGAAGTTTGTTTTAAAGTGGGTCTTTTAGTGAGGGGGCTTGATTAGAACTGGGCGGGGGTCATGATACGACAGTCCAGGATTGCTGGAAACAGCTAGACAAGGATTTTTTAGGCAAGGGTTTCAGAGAATCTGAGGGTGCCAGTTGTTGATACTTTCCATTGAAGTGTTGTTCCATCTTTTGGGGAGTTCATAATGAGCAATCAAGCAAGTTTGAACCATGAAGATATTACTTTAGTCTCCTAGAATAGTAAAGGTGTACTAATGTAAACATTAGATTGTGTGTGTGTGGGGGGAGAGAATGTAGGTACCATAGTTTCAGTTCTCACTGTTCAGTCTGTGTGTAGAGCTAGATTGTTCTGGTTTTCAAAAAAAGTAACAGTGTAAAACAATTTTTCACTTACCAGATTGGTAAAAGTTAGTATGTTGAATAGTATCAAGTGTTGGCAAAGATATGAGAGAAATTTCTCATATACTGCAGGTGGGAGTATAAACCAGTCTAAATGTTCTGGAGAACACTTTGGCAATATTTAGTGAAATAACGTATGAGTAAATTCTATGGCCCAGCGATTACTTGCCTGTGTAAATACCGTGAAGCTCCCTAAGGAGACATCATAGGAGGGTGTTCATTGCAGCACTTCTTTTTTTTTTTTTTTTTGTTTGACAAACTTCCCTGACTTGGGTTTTTTTTTTTTTTTTTTTTTTTTTTTTTTAAGTTTTTTTTTTTTTT